CAGAAAAATAAAAAAATTTTAATCCACGTTTTAGCCCGCAATTCTCAATCGATTTTAAGAATTCAAGATCTGTTTGAAAGATATTGGTTGGGAATCGGGCTGATTAGTTTTTGGTAAAGATCGGCCGGGCCGTTGTCTTGCAATGAAGTATTAAATTTATTTCACGATTTTTATAATTTTTTTTTGATGGATACCATAGTCTTGCAGATTATACTAAGATATTACGGCCCTACAACAAGTCGTTTAATTATAAAAACTCTTCAATGTTTGCAAAAATTAGTATCGTTTTTTGGCATTTGTCAAAATTAGACATTTCATCGACGTTTGCTCAAAAACGCCTGAACCGATTTCAGAAATTTAAAAGACATTTAGTGTATCTCAATGAGAACTATCGTTTGTCAGTTTTGTGCGACAATCTGCCGAGCCGTTTCTTTGTAATTTGGGAAAAAGTGTTAAATTTTTCGTCCACATTTAAGCACATACTACCGAATTGATTTTAAAAAATCAAAAACTGTTCGAAAAATATTACTTGGAAATACTGATTGGTTTAAGGTGAGAATCTACCGAGCCGTTTTCTTGTAATTAACAGTTGAAAAAAAAATTAAGCCAATTTTTATGGAACTTTTTTGGCGATTTATATCATGGTCTTATAGACTATGGTCTTATAGACAACAAGTAGTTTAATTTTAGAAATTCATCAAAGTTTGAGAAATTGAGTAGTTTTTTTGACGTTTCTAAAATTAAAATTAGTCGATTTACTCGGTAGAACGATAGAATATTTGGTCTTAATGAACGTGCTATTAATTATAAAAATTGTTAATTTTTGAAAATTTGCGTTTACAAAATAGTCCGAGATAACGGTTCGTTCGCTTTCAATTATGTGTAATAAATCCTCTCGGAATACTTTCAATCACTCATAAATTAAATTATTTTTTATTGACTAAGTCGATTATTTACGCATATCGGAAAGTTTATGTAACTTGCCTCAAGGCAAAATACCAATACCAACTAGATTAAACATTATTTTGACAATTTAAAAAAAATATATGCAGAGTTCATAGCCTAAATAAACGTCCTAAAACATTTTATGCATACGAATTACAAAATTTCATTTAAATTTCAAATTTTAAATGTTGCAAAATCTTAATCTTATTGATTAAATCGATTATTTACACGAATCGAGAATTATATGAACTCGCTTAGCAAAATGCCACTTTCATATTTTCATCGTTTTCTCACCATGGTAATATTGATGGTGTCGATGTAACATGATTAATTTTTCTAAGTAAGGTCCGTTTTCTGACTCTAATAAAATATTTTATTAAATGTAATAAATGTGGTGTATGACACAAAAATATTAACATCTAATAAAACAAATAAAATGAACTTAATCTTTTTTTAAGAAAACAAAATTTATTCGTGTCGGTTTGCGTTTTGATATGTTCGATTATTATCAGACTATTACAATCCTATCATCACATTTGAACATGATGTATTTTATTATTATTGAAATATCTTATCAATAATTATTTCTCAAACAAGCGGTGTATCGCATTGTGCCTCAAAGCAGTTTGCTAGAACTTCTCGTTCCGTAATTGAACATTTCAGGAATGAAAACGATCAATAAGCAATAACAATTATTTAATAATTAATAACAATTGTTTCAAATATTTTTAAATAGCTTTTCATAATTCAGTGACGAGTAGGTATTCAACAAACAACTTATGTGTGTGTTTTTTTATATTTATGACAATTATTTATAACAATTATTTTATAACAAGAATTATCTTCAAATGTTCTTTATTGAAAATTTCGTTTTTTCAGAAAAGTTTTAAAAATTTTTTTTTTTTTTTTTGAAAATTTCGATTTTTTTCATAATTTTGGATTTTATTTTCAATGGTGGAATTTTTTAAAAAACATAGATATATTAAAATTTTTTGACAATATTATTAGATATTTGTCTAATTCTCGAAAAATTTCGAATTTGGAAAATTCTGAAAAAAATCGAAAATATGTTGTTGTTTTTGAAATTTTGATTTCTTTTTAAAAATTTTGATTATTTTTCAAACTTTTTTATATAGGTGTTTTTTTACACCCTCACAAAATGATTTCTGAATCATTCTAATTGAATGGTCCGTCCTCTCAAAAATTGCAAAACCATTTTTACACTCTTTGTGCTCCTTTTCTCCGAAACAGCTAGAAATGTCTTTCGTGGAAAACTGTTTAGAATTGACGTCTTGCGCTCAATCCTTCATATATGAGCAATGGAAAATGTCGACAAGACACTTAGTTGAAACATGCGAGTTAACTTTAAGAATTAAAAATCCCGGTACGAAACGCAAACAAAAAAAAAATCCACAAAGTGTGTATGTACTCATTATCAAAATCTCTATAAAATATGTGATATTATATAATGCATATTATTCAAAAAAATTGAAAATTTAAAAAAAAAATTAAAATTACAAAAAATCTATCTTTATGAATAATCTAAATGTTTGAAAAGATCATTTAAAAATAACTATTTTCAAGGGTTATGATTTTTTAACAACATTTGAAAATAGAGGAAAAAAGATGTAAAACCAGCCATCACCTTAATTCTTATGGCGTTGCTAACGGGAGATGCGTTGTGAAATTTCACAACAAAAGTATTTTCTTCTCGTTGTTTGTTTTTTTATAGTTGTGAGCATGGTTAATAATTAGTTTGGTATTTACAATATAGTTACTCAAAGTTAAATTGAACCTATTTTCCGCGCTACCCTACTTCTTTTTTCTATTAAAAATGATTTTCATTATGCATTAGACGAAAACTGCATATCCAAAATATATGTAATAGTGTAATATATATATATATATATATATATATATATATATAAATGTGTGTGTGTCAGAAACAATATCTATCTTAATTAAAAAATAATCACTTGACGCAAGATAAGAATTTATCTATAAATGAGTGTAATTTCAATCATTCATTTGTATTTAGTAAAATGGAAATGATCATAATCAAGTTAGTCATAATTTTATTGAGTGTAGCATAACTTATTCTAAATTAGTATTAAATAATAATAAAAAGTTAACCATCATACTTTCAAATATATTTGCAGTTTCATTATTAGTAATACAGCCATGTATATAGCAAACAAAATATTAAGTTTTCAGAGTGAATAAATCTTTTTGTTGTAATTTCTCCTGATTTTTGTATCAAAAATAAATAACACGTTAAAAAGTATTTAGAATAAAGTAAATTTTAAATTCTTAAAAAAAAAACATTTCTGTGTTGTTTGATTTTCAACAAATTTCAAGAATATGTATAAGATTAATTAGATCAATTATTTTCATATATTTATAGGGCAATTTTTGGCTATTTGTAGTCATGCAATCAATTGATACTCGGCAGACCAACAATTGTTCTGACAGTGGTGAAGAAAATATTATTTGTCTTAACTGCAGCATTTTTGCTAATTGTGATAACAGCTCATCAGGTAAATTAAACAATGTTTTTTTAAATGTATAAAAAATAATACATTTACGTATCCCAGACTTGGATGTTTCGGGCTCCACTTTTTCGGTAATTGCCGTTAAACACTACTATTTGGGGAAAGGATCTAGAATGCCATTTTTGGTGTTTTGATTATTCTTTCTTTCTAATTAGTCCCATTCACTCTTCTCTTTTCTTTGGAATGCAAGTCTAAAAGAACTTTTCAAGCGAGTGTGTTGATGGTGTTCTAAGCAGCGTCGGACATAACCTATATTTAACTAGTGCATCTGGAGTAACGCTCCTGTTAAATATTGCTTCTACACATGCTCTGCATCTCCAATTTTGGCTGAAAATTATGGACACTCCAGCGACTGTCGTTCTTAAAGCGGTATAAGATATTTTGCGGTATTGTGGAATACAAACATGCCCAAACAGCATTTGTGCAAAATAATAATTAACCTCGCGTGCCTGCTATATAATGCGTCCATCTGCTCTTCACTGCGACATCTCACTGTCGCTGCCATTTGTCTGACTCGTCCTGTTGTTCTTTTATTTTCAAATCTTTTGAACTCTTTCGTTCGTAAATCTTTGTCTTTTCTCTGCTAAGCTCTGAGTCGTAGAGTTTCTGAAATGATGCACACTGCTTTCTCTGATATTGTGCGGTAGATGCATGCAACTCTTAAGGGACTCAGACAATATATGGGTCATACTATTCCCGCGGTTTGTAAGTTTGTCAAACTTCACTTTATATGGAGATAGCAATTGTTAGCATTGAAGTAATCACTGATAATAGTAAAATCGTTTTGATCTGCTTTGGGCAACCAACATTAGGTATCACACAAGCAAGTCTAGTGCTACCTTTTGACGCTTTAGCACGAACGACTTTTACCTGCTGGTTAAAATTATGTCGAAATATACAAGTACCTATAATTCTTGTGAAGTTGCAGGACCTAGACAGGTAGTTATCACAGGGAACCAAACTTTGTTACTCCGAAGATATCTTCACTTGTACCAGTACAAGAGTGATAAAAAACTATGCCTATAAACTATCGTAAAACTATGCCTACCAAGTGTATGATGATATGATCGAGTGTATGAATTATGATGTCAATTGTATTCTGACTATATATTAAAAATCATGTAAACTATTACAATTTAATTGTAAAAATAAGCGATACAAAAATTCTTTTGCTTAGATAGAAATATATACTACGAAGGCACCGAGAATAATTTGTTGTTCGATAACAAGCAAATAAAGTATCCAAATTTATATCCATATGATTCAAATGAGATATTAGATGGTGTTCAAAAAAATCGTGCAAGAGAAAACTATTTATTTCCACCCAGCATATTGTCTTGAAAAATGTATATTAGTTTGATTGGCAAAAAACTATGCAAATAAAAAATAGTAAACTATTTAATTACTCATTCAATGATATACGTATGTATTGTAAGATTTAAATATATTATTTTCAATTTTTTATTTTAAGAAAACCTCATCTCAACAAAACCGTCCACAACTATCGAAAGCACCATGTCCACCAAATCTACCACGATTAGTGAAACCACCACGACGTCAGTCACTGCGTCCACCGAAGTGAACCCCAGCTCAACCAACCCGTTCACAACTATCGGAAGCACCATGCCCACCGAACCAAACACGACGCCTGCCACTACGTCCACCAAAGCTCCCACGTCTTCAGAAACCACCACGACACCGCCTGCTACTGCGTCCACCAAAGCTCCCACGTCTATAGAAAGCAGCACAACGCCTGTCACCACGTCCACCAAAGCTCCCACGTCTACAGAAACCATCATGACGCCTGCCACTACGTCCACCAAAGCTCCGACGTCTTCAGAAACCACCACGACGCCGCCTGCTACTGCGTCCACCGAAGCTTCCACGTCTATAGAAAGCAGCACAACGCCTGTCACCACGTCCACCGAAGCTCCCACGTCTATAGAAAGCAGCACAACGCCTGTCACCACGTCCACCAAAGCTCCCACGTCTACAGAAACCACCTCGACGACTGCCACAGCGTCCACCGAAGCTTCTTCTACGGAAACTCCCGCACCAGAACCACCACAAGAGAAGCCATGTAAACAACTAGGTCCACTGGTGCAAGATCCGCGTGATTGTCACGCATATTACACCTGTGTAAAAATTGGATCATTACCGAAACATTTTAAATGTAATAATGGTGCTTATTTTAATCCAGACAAATTAAAATGCGTGAGAGGCAATTGCGAGAATAGCACAGAATTTCCTCCTCCACCGCTCCCAGACATTTGCGATAAATTAGGACCTTTGGTGCAAGATCCAAACGATTGCCGCAAGTATTATGCATGCGTCACGATTGGAAAAGAACCTGAACATTTTACGTGCAATAAAGGGGCGTATTTTGATCCAAAAACATTACGGTGTGTCAGAGGAATTTGTTAAAAAATATTGTTATACAAAATAGTAAAATCTTATAAATTTAATTTACACTTTAAATTATAATTTAGGATAATTTGAGTTTATTAGCAATTTACCATTAGGCTATCATGTAATAGATAGAGGGTGTGTAAAAAAATAATTTACTACCGAACAATATAACAAATCACAGTATAGGTAAACGTGAAAACAGATTAATTTATTGAAGAGAATAAAATAAATGAAAAAAATTATAAATTATTAATGATGTTTATATAAGAGTCCTATAAAATATTTATATCGGTTCTCAGATTTACGCTATTGTTAGTTCAAACCCGAACACTCCGAACTATTAACATTTAGACTGACATGCTCCGTTTAAATAAGTCTTTTTCATGGAATAATATTCGAGAATTATCAAAATCAAACATATTATTTATTTAGATTGTAATTGTTCTTGTATTGGCTAGACTTGTCAGAACTTAGAAAAAAGACTCAGACATGAATTACAATGCGAAAAAATAGATAATAAAAAATGATGTACGCTTGTGTATCATGCTAATATTATTTCTTTATTGAACTAGAACTATTAGCGTTTCGCGCGGGTGAACTGGCTCTAGTTTGTTAAATTTTTCAACGAGTTTCACAAATTTGATTTGAACAATATTTGCAGTACTAAAAGGAAAAACAATAGGCTTTCGAATAACGATAATAAAAAGTAATTAAACAAAACGCACTATCCAAAAACATTAGTTTATCCTTTATAGCAAATAATAAATGATTATTTAGCATCAATTAATTTAAATTATGTGGCCTAAACCAATGTGATTAGAACCACGTAATTTCTTTTTCGATATCTTTCATGATTACGTGAAAAATTGAGTTTGAAAAAGGGGCCACTTTGGCCAATGATATCTTGGTCATAAGGTGAGATACAATAGAGTTAGTCTATATAAAAAATGTTTTTGACAGAAGAAACCTGATGATAGAACGTATCTAGTTCCGAAATGTCTGAATTAAAAATCTATAAAAACAAATAGTTTTTTATTTATTGAATTTATTAGTCAAAAAAACATATATCAATTTATTGAAAAAAATCAGGTCTTGACTATTAAATATATATATATATATATATATATATATATATATATATACAGTGCAAACCATGCAATTGCAAAGCGCGCTTTAGTGTGATTTGAAGCAGTTTTTGACTGAATTGATTTCTATTCGATTTTATGGATAGGAAACAAATTTTAATATTAATCAGTAGAATAAAGAAAAAACATAAGATACATATTGATACCTACTTGTTAATATCAATTTTAGTTTTAAAAACAATTAAGCAAAAACCCGAGTTTTTTTATTCCGAAAAATTTTATTAATTAGTTTTAAATATTTAATTATTTTTTAGTTTAATGAAATATGATTGCAAAAATCTGAGGACAATTCACTCCTTCAACAAGAAGTCACACTGATCTAAATTAATATATACGTTGATATTAAAATCTAAATTAATATAAACATTAGACAAACATACATATTAACAGACTGATTTGATTCCCAATGTTACCCAACCGATATTTGTCATTTTTCATTTATACAGTTAAAACCAATTTTTTTTGCTAAAAACCGGCTTGCAAATTTCATAATTTTTGCCAGAAAGCCGGTTTTTAAAACCGGTTTTTGAAAACCGACAAACCCTACGCGCTACATATAAATGTTTAAGGGTCACATTAATAGTCTTTGCAAGTTTCAACCTAATCTATAACTGATTCTAATTAAATTGAATTGGCACTTTTGAAGTTTCATGATTTTGATATATTTTTACCACGCGTTTCATTAATTCGTTAGCTTTAGAAGTACGAAGATAAATTCTGTAAGATAGATTTGTATGGTACCTAGTTCTCTATCAAAAACTGTTAGATCTTCAGATTTTAATATTCAATATCTCTATTTTTTTGTTTGCAAAAATTGCTCTTTATACAAACTATTTATAAACTTTGTACTATTTGTGCGCATCGGAAAATATTTGCACAGCGGGAAAATGGAAGGGGTGGGCAACCCTTGATAATTTTTTTTTTCAAGTAAAATTCTTGTTTTATAATAAGGTCAGGAAAATATAAATTAAAATTTAGTAAAAAACATTTAGTGACTGTAAGCGTGGTAAAAAATTATTTAATTAGGGGGAAGTCCCGTAACGCCGGACGGCACCTAAAACCGGACACTCTATTTAAGACGTATTATTTAAGCGAGTATAAATCTTTTTATTTCAAAATACAAGTGAAAGGAGCGTGGGGGCACATAGGTGCAGGATCACGCGCCAAAACTCATCTGTGACGCACACGGCCACGGCGGGAGCAACCCTTTGTTGTTTTAGGCGCAAAAACACGGCGTCACCTAAATATCAATGGAAGTAATTTTAGTGTATTTATGCATTTATATTTTAGCGGCATTCAAAAATAAAACTAGTACTTGATTGTTATCCGTAAAATGGTAGAATATTATTAGATATTTTAAACAATTTTAGTAGGTATCAAAAGAATGAAAATCTTATGATGAATGCTACAGCTGAGAGCATCGGTGTGGCCCAGCCAAAAGGGTGGATAATTAATGATTTTTTTTGCAATATCTAACAATATTTGTCAAACACAAATGTGCAGACAGTCCAGAGTATGGAGATGAATACATAGGTTAGGGCGGGGCTAGTTGAGCATAGGGGCAAGTTGAGCAATCGAAATATCTCGAAAACTATTCATCGTTCGTTTAGGCATTATATGGCGGAAAGATAGAGGTTTCGGAGAAATAAACATCCCGCGATCGCTAGTGGCCGCTGGACAAATGAGGGAGGCTCGCGGGTGTTTTGTTTATTTTGAGACCAAAAAGTAAAAAAGTAATTGTTCACGAGTTTTCGTCTGGTTTAGTCAAATGTTATTTATTTTTAATCAGGTAAATGGCATTCTTCCAAATATTTATAGTACTTTTAATATGCAGAGATTCTGGGTATAATTCTCACGTTTTTTTTATAAACTCACTTTTATTGTGAAATTCCGAGTTGGGGTCAGTTGAGCATAGTGGCTAAACTTGTTCTGTCACTAAGACAATTACCATTAAATTCCAGAAATTAATTATTATTTTTAAGATTTAAGCTAACTCTATGAGTAATAATATAAAAAAATAATGATTTTAAACAAAAATACTGAATATAATGGTAAAATAATTCCTAAGATACAATATTGTTTTGTTGATTCTACTTTTCGTTAGTTATTCAAAGCAAATTATTATAAGTTTTGTTTTCTCTGTCAATAAAGACTACAAATATAGAACTGGTTATTAAAAACTTATTTTATTTCATCACTAATCGACATTGAACCTACGATTTCATTATACTTTTTTAGTGCTCAACTTGCCCCACCTATGGGGTACATTGAGCATACTTGACTTTTTGCATTTAAATAGCTGTAGCTTTTAAATTTTACATATTACCAAAAAATAGTATTAACACTTTTGTTAAGCGATAAACAACAAATCCATTGAGCCGTATAGCAATTTATTTAGACTTTCCATTGAGGAGCTACATCCGTTTAAGTAAAAATTTGCTCAACTAGCCCCGCCCTACCCTACATATATGTTCAATGCTGGTTATTTTGAAATGTCCGGTACTAGGTGCAACTTTGTAAAATCATATTTTTTGTTACCAAAGTTTGATTGATAGTATTAATTATTGTTTAGCAAAGATTGCGTTTTTGTTAAATTAGTTTGATTTCTAACTTTATTATCTAACATAATTCATAATTTAATAAACATTTCGTAAGATATTTTTTGATTTATTTATAAATAACCTTAGTGTCCGCCACTCGGGGACTTCCCCCTACTAAAATGGTTATGATAAAATATAGATTTATGGAAGGAGGGTGAGAGTTTAGTTAATTTAATTAAAGCTAAAAGATAATTGATTCCGAAATTTAAAAAAATATAGGGATGGTCAACCATTGACAAAAATAAATAGTTTTTTAAATTAAAAAGAGTTCCATATATTTTTCAATTTAAAATTGTAGATGAATAAAATTGGTCCCAAAATTAAAAAAAAATGTTAGGGATGGACAGCCCTTAAATTGTATTTTAAAGTAAAAAGAGTATGTCGTATTTTCCACAATAAAAAATTAAAATAAAGAAAATTGACCCCAAAATTAAAAACGGTTGGACAACCCTAACATTTTTTTTGTTAACAACCCTTAATAATAATAAATTATTTTTAAAATAAGGTTTAAGCTTTTTTTTAATTTTTGTTTGTCAATTTTTGATGTTAAAAATTAGTTGAATTTTGATTTAACCAGCGGTTTCCAAAATTTTAAAATTTGCAACTCGTTTAGAGTTAGAAATATGTCGATATAATTTGGATCATAAATGACCAGTAATTGAATGAACAGGAAGGAGCAGTGTACGAACAGTCAATAAATTGAATGAACATTGTTATTCAAACCATTCGTGAATCATTCACAAGTCACGTTTTCATATTTAAATTGCTATATATTTGATGCACAAAAAGAACTGGTTTATCACCTTTTCAAATATTTCTTTCCCCAAAGCATTTCTTTCGAATTATTAGAAAACTATATAGTTAACTATATAGATTTTGTTTATAAACTAGTAGTGGCACTAAGCTCTCTTAAGACAAATAGTTTTAAATACAATAAATATACCGTTTTATAAATAACATGAACATAATTAATTAATCAATACAAATTTAAATACAAATATTAAATTTCAATACCAAATATTTACAAAATATTTTACAAAAAAAAATTTGCAGTGTTTGTTGTTTGTTGTGTTGTTTCTAGTAAGATTAATTACGATATTCAATATTTAATATTTTTAGATATTTATAACCAACTGTAAATTTAATAATCTTTGATGATATGTAACAATTTCTGTAATTGCTAAATTGTTTAAATAGTTATTGTTTAATGTAAAAAAGCACATCTGGGGATTGTGCAAACAAAATCTTAGCTAATCTTTGCATAGGCTAG